CCATGAAGCCTATATTTCTCATTTACTCTTTGACATCTGTAATCTCCAAATCCATAGTCTCTCTCTGTTGTTTTTCTCCTTCCAACTTGCTTGAGACAAGACATCTATTGAGACTGTGCATCTGCCACTCTAGAACTAAAATCCCAGAGTTTTGCTTATCTTGGGCTGGGCTGGGAGTAAAACACCAAGGAAGAACTTCAATTAACATCGTTGGTGGCAAAGCACAGGTACTCTGCAACTCTGTGTATTTGGCCCAACGGACATGGTCTCGAGATCCTTTACTGACGTGTGCATTCTCAATGATACGAGAATAATGACAACATATATGATAAAATTTGAAAAGGTAAATATTTTTCTATATTTTGTGACATTATTTCACTAACTACATGGGATAGATGCCTCAGTGTTCAAAAACTGAATACTTTTAGCCACCTGAAGAGTAGTTTGACTCTTAATAAAAAATACCATATCGAAGCAGCTGGAGGGGAGTGTTAAAAGAGGAAGGGAAGGACGGGGGAAGAAACAAAAGCAAGCCAATTCTGAATGGAAATTCTAACTAAATACAGAATAAATTCAAGGAAAGTATGCGGTTTCTGTTACTTCTCAGCTTTCCCAGGTCAGGATGGGTTACTTCCTTACACTCAGCTCCTGGCAGCAGCAGGGTCAACTCTGGCCACGCAGGAGGCACGGGGCCAGCACCAGCCATACCCCTGCCACATCCACGCAGGCAAGTCTCTTCAGGCTGCCTGCATGTACTGCTCAGGTTCAGAACAAGCTGCCACCTTCACCGACGTGCTTCTCCTCCTCCAACACCAGACAGGCTTGCCAGAGCTAGGAACACATTTCTTTAGCAATACTTGAAGCCAGGCTTTTACATACAAGGTTAGAAACCAAAGGTTAGAAGACAGAACAAAGCACTACAACAGTCCGTGCTTTGTAGCTGCTTTCCCCTAACATCTCTCCAGTACGCCCTCCTGCATGAACAGCCAAGGTTCAAAGTTGCCCAAAGTTTCAGGTGGTTTCCTAAATAACAACGGCTCTACCTCTTGATAGGCTCATTGCTATTCATTCAGAGTCGAAGGTCCTTGAAAGGCCAGGCTTTCTGTCACCTGCCCTCCCAGGTGCACAGGGGATGGCAAGAGAAGAGCAGACACACTTACTGATGCAATCTCCTGAGGAAAGCACCTTGGATACCTACAGTCTGTTCCTAGTTAGTCAGCAGGCTAATAAAACCTGCTAATAAAAGCAGGATTTATATTGGATTTTTCAAGGCCGGTGAGGGCTATTGCCATACAGGATATTTAAAAGTTAAGCATAAACTTTTAAACTCATCACCTTCTATTTTCATACCAGCTTTCTAAGGAGGCTATTTAAAACACAGCATTTCTGAAAATGTCCTGCCAGCTGAATCTTGAATGACTCATTTTTATCTTTTCTCTTCTGCAGCTGATCAAGGCTCTGCATTTGTCAAAAAAAGGAAAACCAGGAAACGATTCACCTAAGACATGCTGCAATTACCACAAAAAAGAATCAGAGTCGAAGGACTCAGGCAATTCCCCCAAATCAGATTCCAGGCGTGGCAAGCAATCAAACCTGACTTTGAGGATGAGATGTAGCTGTATAAGCAAGGTGTATGAATAAGTAGGTGCAGCCCAGACACGTTTTCTTAAGCGAAGAGGTTAACAAACATATTCCCAGCTTGTGTTGGGCTGCTATACACATTAGGTAGGATGTACAGGTATTTCCTCCCTTTAAATAAAATGGTAAAGAATACTTAATTTTACCTTTATGAACAGTCTTAAAGTGCCCAGAATGAATGAGCAAAAGTAAACTGAAACAAATAAAAAACCTT